AATCTTCAGTTTGAAAAACAGCCTTAAATAGGCCCTCCGATAAAGGATTCCTTTAAATCTAACTTAAAAAAGAAAGAGGGAGAGTAATCTTCTGAGATTCATAGAATAAGCAACACAACACAGAGACCTTGTTAGCACCATCAGCCGGGAACTTTAAGTGAGACCTGAGGAACACTGAGTATCTTGGAGAATGTGCATGGGAGAAGGACTACTGGGCAAAAGAACAACGCCCTGGAGGATTTTTTTTTTTTACATAGATTTCAATTACGAACTAAAAGGAAATAGCAAAAGGCCTCAAAAGAACACTTTGGAAAAAAATGTAGGTATTCCTTTCACCCAAGGGAGAGAAGGCAAAAACTTAGGTTTAGCTCCCTAGGAAAGAATAAAGAAAGAATTTTTCTGGATAAATCCTGGATCATACCATTGTATGACTAGAAACAGAAGTGACAAAACAGCTCCTAATGTCAAGATTTATGTCTGAATGGCTTTTAAAACTCAAAAGATTTAAAAAAAAGTTACCCCCCAAATCTAAGTACATCTAAAAACACAAATCTAAGTAGGCAAATGAGGGGAACAATATCTGGAGGTCACAGTTACTTCCTGGTAGAAGGGAGCTCAACTAACCAGCAGAGATAAAATAAATGATTCAGGGACTTAGCCATCATCTCTCTTTATCCGATTCCTCCACTGTCTATATACAAGAATCAAGGCTTTGGGAAATGAAAAGCAGCTCCTTCTCATATACACACAGAAAGCTATGGATCACTGTCTTAAATATTACCAAACAAGAATGGACAGCGACTTCTTTTATGGTATCTTAAAGGGGGTAGGAAGAGAAAAAAATATATGTATACATAAGCATATCCAAACATGAAAGCACTTCAAAAAACTCATCAGAGATTCGACTTTTCTTGCACTAGGAAAGAGCTACACACCCTTAAAGCCATTCTCTTTCCAGTATACCTTTCATCATAAATCAGCATTTTGAGGGTGGAAATAAAAAGTCCTTGTAAGCAATCTGCTCTCACATGTTTTAATGTTGTGAGAAGATGACCAGGCTTTATAAACAACAAAGTGCCAAAGACTTGGCACAGATCAACAGTGTTTAACATTATCATCAAACAACTGATAACAAAGTTAACTGGACATACATATCAAGATCTGCACAGTTATATTTGTGTCATATGATAAACACCTGTAATTTGTGACTTGACACAGCCAAAATAAGTACCTCTGGAATTAGCCATTTGAGGGTAAAGATAAGGGGGAAACAAAGTACAAAGTTGTTTAATCCACCAGAAGACAACTGATTGATGTTAAACCCAGGGAACTGGGTAGGGTGGCCCAAAGCCTGAGAGGAGGGCCCACAACTCCTTTTCCCTTTTCTTCCTCCCAGAGCCAGACACTGGGTAAGAAACTGCAAATTGCAAATAAGAATATGTGGTTGCTGGGCAGCTTCCTTTTTTTAGCTTTCTAGATGGATCCACTTTCTACCCTTCCCCACCTTCTACTCTGCCCCTGGAAAGGACCTTTCTGGACTGCATTAACAAGCTGCTTTGTCCTCTGGCTTGTCCTTGTGTTCAGTCAGTGAGAGGTACCCACAGGAGATTAGAAGGCAGGAGATGAGTTAGGTGAGGGTATATATTTCCTTGGCTCCTTGTCAGCGAGATCTACTTTGTCCTCTGGCTTGTCCTTGTGTTCAGTCAGTGAGAGGTACCCACAGGAGATGAGAAGGCAGGAGATGAGTTAGGTGAGGGTATATATTTCCTTGGCTCCTTGTCAGCGAGATCTCTGTACATTGGCTGTGCCCTTCTATCAAAAGCAGCTGCAAATACTCTGTTAGAGTTTTAGTAATGGCTCTGTCACCTGGCTCCTTTAGGTCTAAGAGTGAGATCGTTTCCCAGGGTTCCTAGCCCCAGGATACTGCACCATCCTTTAACCTTGCCCATACTTTTGTAGAGTCCTTCATTAAATTCATCAATCACCCAGTATGAGTTGTCATCTGTTTCCTGTCAGACCTGACTGATAAACTTGGTTTAATTAGGCTTTGGCAATGGACAATGGGTGTGGGCAAATACATACATGATGAGACTAACAATAAATAGCTGAAATGGAGAGCCTAACCAGGGCTCCAGAGGTTGCATTTCTTGCCTCCAGTCCAGTGCACAGCAAATAGAAGGGGAAAGCTCCCAAAAGTCAGTATTGTTGTGGAAACTAAGTCTAAAGGTCAACATTTACTCTACTTCAAATGCTACCTTCAAAAAACCATAATCCTTACCAATCCATTTGTTTTCATATCATCAGGAAAACCATCAGTTAAAGATGGTGAAATGTCATTACTGACTCTTTGGTCTCCAGTCCTTTGCATTGGAGGCTTCCTGCCATCTCTTCAACTGGCTAGCTCCTATTCACTCTTTAAAGGTTCGGCTTAGAAATCAGGTTCTCAAGGCCACATAGCCTACTGGTGATGGAGCCAGGACTTAAACCCAGGTATTCTAACTTGAAGTTCTCTATTAAATACTATGTTGCCCCCGCACCGGACCGGGGACCGGCAACGGGATTGCAACCCTCGGCGTCGCTCCCGCGCCCTGCTCAGCCAGTGAGCGGGAACCGGTCTGTATGTGGGATCCGAACCCTCGGGCGGGAGCACCGCCACGCTTCCCAAGCGGCACACCTATCCAGTGCGCCACCGGGCCGGCCCCGAGGCTCTTCTTTTTAAATATTAAGCTTCATGGGACTTATTTTTATGACCTTTCTCCTAGTAATGTCCAACAGTCTGATGCATATCCTTCTCAAACCACTGAGAATATTACTGATGATAAGATAATCTATAATCATAAAAGTATCAGGTTTTTGTATAGATTTAGATTTATCATGTGATAGAATATACTGGCGCTAGCTATAAAAGTTTTCTGTCTGCATCTTATCGAAGCATTGTTTTCTTTCTAGAAATAGGATGGAATTTATTTATTGTTCCTTCTGAAAAATATCTTAAGTGTTTTATTATGTTGACTTTTAAACCAACCCTTCTAATTTAATTTCATTAAGATAATTTTCTACCTGAAAAATGATCAATCACCAATAATTTAAAGCAAGACCAATTGTGAAATATTAGGTAATGTGAAAAATCCCAGTGAGGACAAAATCTGTGATAACAATCTTAAAAGCTTGATGAAAAATTGCTTGAATTTGATTGTCTGTATAAATTTCTGTTCCCTAAAGCCTCCACATTTCTATGGCAGTAAGCTTACCACAAAAGCAATTTTTATAAATGTTTCAGATTCAGAGGAATTAACCTTGTTTAAAATGCTTCTTTCAGTAATGTAGATGCATTTTTTAAAAAAATCATAATCAACAAATCACTTCTAACTTGATACTATTAATGAAACTCAGGTTTAAAAAGAATCATTGTAATTATCCATACCTCTATTTTCTGAGTTTTCCTGGTTTCTGACTAGGTAATCTATACTTAGAAAAGGCTATCTTTCTATCCATCTCCTAATTCCTTACAGGATGAGTGTTCTTTTTATTGCACCATTATATACAGGTCTCTAATATATGCTCCTTAATTATATATTACTGGATAATATGCTAGGAAGGTAATTATTTTTGAAGAGCCCAAATGATCTATAAGTAGAATATCTGAAGTATAAAACACATTATTAAACATAAAAAGTAATCAATGAAAGAGACTGTGAGGCTACAGACCAAAATTTTAACAGAGGTTATCTCTGTGATATAATTATGGGTGGTATTATTTTCTTTATTTTCCAAATATTCTTCAATGAGCATATATTATTATTAATAAAAAATAAATACTTTCAAAGAAAAAGCATTCACAATTATTTATAATATAAAGTAGGAAGCAGAATACAAAATGGCATGCTATTATTAGAACCTTATAAAAGCATGTACGTATACATATAGGCAAAATAGAGATACCATAAAAAAGAAAAACAGTTGATTTGCAGGGTATTGAAATGGTGGACTTTCTCTCTGTTAATGTCAGAATGTTGTTTGGGAAGGAAAAAAAGGAGGGATTATATAAAAGAAGGTAATGCTAAAGCCAACCCATCAGGAGAATCAGAAGGTAGGACATCGAAAGTGATGAATAGCACAGCCGCACAGTACACATAATATTATATGATCTAAGAAAACTATTCCTCTGGTTGTGGTTTACTTCCTTTCTCTTGTCTTTTATGGGAGTGTGAGCAGAAAGGCTTAGCAGGGATGTGTAAACTAGAAGAAGTGCAGAATATGTTGCTGAAGCCATTTTTCTTTACCGGAAGTCAGGGGATGTGTTAAGCAGGCAAACATTGGAAATGGGGATAATCTGGCCCTTTCTGGTACTAACCAGACACCCTATAGGAGGTGTGGAATAGAAAGTTCTGGGGACATGATTCAGAATACCTGAAGTCTATAGCTCTAGAGAGTCATTATGGCCAGACTTTATAGCTAGATAAAGCTTCAGCTATCTGAAATCCCTGGGTATAAGTTATTTTGGTTAGCCAAATTTTCCTAATGCCCAGAGGTTTGTCTCTGAAGTTTTATCATTAAAGATAGAAATATTTCCAAAATGCACCTTTTAGAAGGAAACAATTCAATTTATTTAACTTTTCATTTCATGTCCTAGAGTTATCATTACACATATTGATTACTGCATCATTAGGAGTCTATTGAGTCTATATGGCTCTTTTCCTCTATATTTTTACGCTTAGGATGATTGGATTTTATTTTTTTAAAGTTTGCTTTTTTGTATTTTTTTCTTTTATATGTAGGGGACAGGTTCTTAGGGCTTATAAGGCTGTATTACACATAAAACACAGGAGTTTTAGTACACAGACTTTGAAAAATCAGATTTTATCTTCCTGGTTCTCATCTGTAGGTCACATAGATGCAGCCACTAGATAGCCAAGATACAGCTATGTGAGGGATCACTAGATAAGAGATGACTTGATGATAGTTCTCCAGTGTAATGCCATTATCTTTCACTGAGTTACCTTTGGTCATCAGCTCCATTTTGACTGCTGTTCAGGACAATTCTCCAAAGATCTGAGGATACTAATTTCTTCTGGTCATTCACAAGATTGATATCTGGCAACTGCAATTCACAGACTTTGCTTTCAGACAGATTAAATTCTCGAAATGCAACAAAAATCTTCTGAAGTTCATCCCAGTATTCCAAACTACACGGAATCTATGTTAAAATACAGAAGATACCATGTTACAATAGAAACTATGTGTCTATATTTGTTGAAATGCAAATTAAACATTCATAAAAGTTATAACAGTAAGACATTTTTTTTTTCCTTTTTGTCTTTTGTTGTGACTGGCAACGGGATCGCAACCCTCAGTGTCACGCCCGCACTGCGCTCAACCAGTGAGCTAACCGGTCTCTATATGGGATCCAAACCCTCGGCGGGAGCACCGCCGCACTCCCAAGCGCCGCACTCTACTGAGTGCGCCACCAGGCCAGCCCAACAGTAAGACTTTTAAAGGAGGATGAGGTTATAAGAGACAGCAGTTTCTTTTCATAGTTTTATATTCATCCTGTTTATTTTAAAAGAACTGCTCAAGAATAACACACGAAAACAGCCAATTTTTTAAAAAATAAAAGAAAAAATGGGGAACAAATTTTATGAGGTGTTAAATGTGTCATAAAGGTATAGTAATTCAAAGACAAGGTTGGAATAGTAATGTACAAACAGATTAAAAGTACAGAATTTAAAAAAATCAGAAAAAGAGGTAAGTACAGATGTAATTTTAGTATGTAATGAAGTTGCCATTTCAAACAAGTAGGGAAAAGATGGAAAATGAGGTTGCAACGGGGCCGGCCCGGTGGCGCAGTGCTACAGTGCGCCGCTTGGGAAGTGGAAAGGGAAAAATTGGTGAAGGGCCATGAAAATTTAAATGTAACATGCTGATCTGTAGAATGAACTACTATATAACCATTAAAATGAATAAGGAATATCTATATATATTAACACAAAAGATACCCAGTATATGTTATTAAACAAAAAAATTAATTTAGCTTTAAAATAAGAACATGTGGGTTGATCTTACTTGTCTTAAAAAAAAAAAAAAAAAAAAAAGGAAGAAAGACTAGGCTGAGATGTTTCCTCTTTTGGAAGCATTCCCTAAATACCACCCTCAGATCTGCTCACTACCTCTCTTGTGTCATTTCTGTATCTAGTATACTCCTCTACCCAGAACTTGTTATACTTGCAATTTCTTTTTTTTTTTTTTGTCTTTTTTCGTGTCCGGCAACGGATCGCAACCCTCAGTGTTGCGCCCGTACCGGACCGGGACCGGCAACGGGATCGCAACCCTCGGCGTTGCTCCCGCACCTCGCTCAGCCAGTGAGCGGGAACCAGTCTGTATGTGGGATCCGAACCCTCGGCGGGAGCGCCGCCACACTCCCAAGCGGCGCACTGTAGCAGTGCACCACCAGGCTGGCCCGCAATTTCTTATTTACATGCTTCTCTCCTTTAGTAGACTCTGAGATCCTTGAAGGTAGAAACAGAACATTATTTTTAAATACATTCTTAGCACCTAACACAGCTTTGGGGACATAGTAGGATATCCTTAACCTTTCTTTCCTAAATAAGTGATGTTTAATCCTTGAATGGCAATAAATTTTACCACCGCCTATAACAAAATTTCTTTTCTTTAAACAATGACTTGAGCACCCATGTATGGAGAGATGCTAGATGGAAGAAGGGACAACAAAATGTATATGCATAAGAGGCTAAAAGTGTGCAATAAACAAGAGAGTACAAGTGTTCCTTCAACATGATGATTTCCATTCCTTTGTGTATACATCCAGCAGTGGCACTGCTTGGTCATATGGCAGTTTTATCTGTAATTGTTTGAGGAGCCTCCATACCATTTTCCATAATGGCTGCACCATTTTACAGTCCCTCCAACAGCGTAGGAGAGTTCCCCTTTCTCTGCATCCTCGCCAGCATTTATTCTCTGTCATTTTGATAACAGCCAGTCTAACTGGAGTGAGATGGCGTCTCAGTGTGTGTGGTTTTTATTTGCATTTCCCAGATGCTGAGTGATGCTGCACATTTTTTCATCTGTCTACTGGCCATTTGTATATCTTTCTTTGAGAAATGCCTATTCAGCTCCATTTACAATAGCCAACCTAAATGCCTGTCATTGGATAAGGAAAATGTAGTATATTTATACAATGGAATACTACTCTGCCATAAAAAAGAATGAAACAGTGCCATTTGCATCAACCTGGATGAACTCAGAATTATGTTAATTAAATAAAATAAGCCCAGGCACAGATAGAGAAATACTACATGTCCTTACTTACATGTAGGAGCTAATAAAAAAAAAAAGAAAAGAAAAAGAGGATACAACAATCACAATAACACGTTGAACTTTTTAAGAGAAGAAAATAGAACCGAGGTTGTCAGGGGTGATAAAGGGGGAGAGAGAGGGTGGAAAGGGAAAAATTGGTGAAGGGCCATGAAAATAAATTACATTGTATAATGATGAATACACTAATTATCCTGATTTGAATACCACATATTGAAGATAGGTATTGATATTCAATGCTGTACCAAACAGATATGTACAATCAACTATGTTCCAATAAAACTAAATACATACATACATAAACAAAATAAAATAAAGTGTTATGAAATACAGGCACATGTTCTGATTTTGTGCTAAGTAACATATTCATGGTATTTCACTTTTAGCTACCATTTCTTGAAATTTTCTCTCTTTTTGCTTTCCATGATACAATTTTCTCTAACTTCCCCTCTCTGAGTCATTGTTCTTGTATTCTCCCTCAGCCCGAAATATCCTGTATTCTCTCCCAGCCTGAAATAACTTCACACTTTCTCATCATCTCATCTATCAAGGACCAAATCAAATGCCGTCTTTCTCTGAGGCTTTTCACTGCTCCAGATGGAAAAGTTTTCTCCCTTTTCTGAATACTAATGGTTTTTCAAAACAGGAATCTGTTTCACAGCTCTTATCACTGTACACCTCATGTTATAGTTATTTCTATACATGACATTTTCCCTGGTAGACACATTCCCTGAGAGAATGACTTCCATTTGGCTAAGCTTTGGATTTTCACAGCACCTGGCATGGTGTATATAGCAAATGTTGCTGAATGAATGAATAATTCATGAGTGGATGAATGAGTGAATATATACACACTGGGTGACTCAGCCCATCTCTAGCACATTAAAGATCCTTCACAATGAAGTATGGAGATGAAAGCATGAACTTCAGAGTCAGACCTATTGGGATTCAAATCCTAGATCCTTTTATGAGTTCTTGGGCAAATGAATTTTTATAACATCAGTTCCCATATCTCTAAAAGGAGATAACAACAGATTTTTGTAAGGATTAAAAGAAACAAAGCATTTTACTTCACACCACATGGTGAGGGCTTAAGAAATGTTAGTTATTAATTATTTATCCTTTTCATGCTCAAAAAACACTTCTGAAGCTTGTTATGTTGTTTTCAGAATCAGGCAAATTGTTAGGAAGACTCTTGTTTGTTAGGTTTCTTAACAATGGGTTGGACTTGTGGGAAGAAAATAATAAACCTCAACCCAAGATGTTCAGGAACACTATAACCACAGTTCGATACGACTTTCTGCCACACACTTGCTAAAATGTGTGACTTAAGAGATAAAGGAATATCTCATTGCTTAACTTCTCTTTGGATTGCCAGTGAATCAGCTCTTAGGCTTATGACACTCATAGCCAGGGATGGAAGAGATTTGGGAGGCAGGGTATAAACCCCTAGAGATATAAGGATCTCTGTGGAAGAGGGCAAATGAGTTTAGAAAAAACATATCTATATACCTATTGTTTTTTAATAATACAAATAATGGAATGTAAAGTTCAACAGAATTGTCTTGGTAGAAAGGTTACACAGAAAATAGAGTGGAAAAAACCAATCAATTCTGGCATTGTCTCCAGAAGTTCTACATTAAAATTAATATATAACGGCTTATGAAAATTAGTTGTCATATTGGAAAGTAAAGTAGTACATTAAGGAGAAAGTGCTAGTAAGTTTTGATGTATAAGACAAAGGCTGGAACAGGTCCTTAATACAAGGCAGTCCAAGCTGGAAACCATTGTGGGAAGCCATTATGCAGTTTAAGGGCAATGAAAGTGAACTGTACCAATACTGGGGCTTAGGGAAGGAGGTACTGTTGGAGTTTAAAAAAAGAGATGAGGAAGAAAATCAAAGAAAAACTTTACTTAGTTCACAACTTGTGTGAGGCTGGCTCTGTGGTTACATGCTTCAATTGGAACATTTTAGGCTACTCTGAAAATTCAGAGAACAGTAGAAAACTACGATAGAAATACATCCCAAAATATGTTAGTTACGTGTTTGTCAAGATTTTTTTTTATATGGCCTATTTTCTTGGTTTATAAAGGGGTATTAATAAATTCATTCTGAAACAAATTCCTGCTGAAAAACCATTTAAACTGTATGCCCATAAGTATATTTATGAAAGTCACACATTTATCCTTTTTTCCCACTTTAAGAATATACTAGTCTTCAATATTCAATTTAGAAGTCATTTTATTCAATTGTCCACTCAAATATATACTGAGCCATAAATTTATAAAAGGAAGACCATATAGATGTAATATTTGTATTAACTTATTTCTTCATCCTAAAAAAAATTTCATTCGTGTCATATTCAGGATAAAATCCTGACCCTGCCTTTAAGTCACTGCTCTATATATTTTTGTAGAATTTTAAGCAAAGAAGTCATGTAGTCAAATGTTTTTCAAAGATTCTAGGTACTGTAGAGAATGGATTAAAAAGGGACAAGCGTGAGTGAAAAAGACTAATTAGAAGGTCTAAGTTAGAAATGTTGATAGCTTAGAGTATGGTTGGTGGCACTGGAGTGGTATGTGGTGATTCTTGGGACATAAAAATTAATGTCTTGTTGATTGATTAGGTATGAGAAGTGAGAGGGAGGTGTCAAGGATGACTCCAAGGTTGCTGGTCTGAGCAACCATGTGGATGCTGATGTCATTTACTGGGATGGGTAAGACTAATTTGGCTCTCTGGGGAGGTTTGCAGTATGTGTGAGGTAGAGAAGGGGAGATCATGAGTTCATCCTCAGACAAGCTGAGTTGGAGGCACCGATGAGCCATCACAGTAGAAACAGTGAGTAAGGAGTTGGCTATTCTGGA